TTACACAAATCAGTATCTCTCCTAGAAGTTCAGGTTTGTACTTGTTTGATACACATATCAGTATCTCCTAGAGGTTTGTTATGTTTGTACTTGTTTGATACACATATCAGTATCTCTCCTAGAGGTTTGTCATGTTTGTACTTGTTTGATACACATATCAGTATCTTTCCTAGAAGTTCAGGTTTGTTATGTTTTTACTTGTTTCATACAATAAACGTACTAAATTCTTTAAATACCAAGGACACTTGAATAAACCTCCTCAATAACATCTGGAATATCGGAATCAGCTAGATTGTTGTTCAAAAGGTTTCATCTACAATGAATAACGTGAAAAGGTAACGCACAAACCCTTTCCACCTCAAAATAGGGAAAGTAAGAGTTTTTGACTAAAACTGTAGTTAGGGGTGTGTGTGTGAAAAAGTTAGAAAATAGGGGGGCAGTGAAAGTCCTGCACTAATTAAAAAAGGACACACTTTACTCTTTTTTTTATTTCTTCAAACCAAATTTACCTGTTAAAGAAAGTTGATATTTTTTAAGGTAATATTAAATACCATTTACATGAAAGTCGTACGTGTAGAAAGTTCCCATGGGCTATATAAAATCTTTCAATTAATAAAAAAAAACATCGTTCTTCCCTAAAACAAATTGTTGTTTCCATAGTAATCTACTTGATGATGTTGTAAATGATGATTATTTAAATCTTTCTAAAATTTTATAAAAACCAACTTAAAAAAACTGAAAGCGATATATATGGTTAGATGTTTTGAGAGTGTAGTGGTCCCAAGAGATTTTAGGAGCTTTCTGTTCTTTTGTTCATCTGTTTTGTTTTTTATATATATGTATTGTATATGTTACAGAAGTACAGTGCTGTTGGTTGTCTGGGAATATCAACTGACACATACGATACAAGTGGGAAAATCATTGGGGAAAAACCTTTTGGTACGTATTCTCTGAAGACAACATTTCTATTTTGGATTTCTGAGATTTGCTGCCGTGCTTACAGAGGTTGTGTTAGGGTTTTAAAAACATATATACTGTGAATATGTGGGTAAGCATAAAATTGCATAAATGTATATTCTGATTAGTGGTGAGAAACAAGACAATAAAAATCTGTACGCACAACCCGCCTACCCACTCTAATTCAGCTGGTATGTTTACAGATCCGGCTGTCTGTCTGGATAGACTATCATCAGATATGTGATAAGAACCAATAGAGAAATCTAAGAACTCTTGACTTTAATTGTATTGTGGGAAACGTAAACCTTTATTGTGCATCTGAGACGTAGGTATCATAATAAAGTAACAAGAACAGTAAATGTGTACACACAGTATACAAAAAGTCATTGTATTATTTTGTTAGGGATATAAATTATTTCTTTAGTAAGTATGGTTCCGACAAGAGGTTTGTTTTTGCTTTTATTTATAATCTTGCATAGAAACTATTGAAACGGTGCTGATATCAAGAGTGTTAAGTTTGGTGTTGGGGTTTATTAAAATGTGCCCACTGCCATTTTTGTAACTTTTGCTTGTAGACAGCACTGTATGCAAGCATAAGAAAATGATACTTTATTATACACAAACATATGATTTTGATCTAATGCCCCATGTGTGTTATATACAAACATTATTTTGATTGAACGCCTCGTGCATTATACACAAACATATGATTTTGATCTAATGCCTCTTGCATTATACACAAACATATGATTTTGATCTAATGCCTCTTGCATTATACACAAACATATGATTTTGATTGAACGCCTCTTGCATTATACACAAACATATGATTTTGATCTAATGCCTCTTGCATTATACACAAACATATGATTTTGTTCTAATGCCCCATGTGTGTTATATACAAACATTAATTTGATCTAACTCCCCATGTGCATTATACACAAACATATGATTTTGATTGAAAGCCTCTTGCACTATACACAAACATGATTTTCATCGAACGCCTCTTGCATTATACACAAACACATGATTTTGATCTAATGCCCCATGTGTATTATACACAAATATATGATTTTGATCTAATGCTCCATGTGGGTTATATACAAACATTAATTTGATTGAATGCCTCGTGCATTATACACAAACACATGATTTGGATCTAACTCCCCATGTGCATTATACACAAATATATGATTTTGATCTAATGCCCCATGTGGGTTATATACAAACATTAATTTGATCTAACTCCCCATGTGTGTTATATACAAACATTATTTTGATTGAATGCCTCGTGCATTATACACAAACATATTATTTTGATCTAATGCCCCGTGTGTGTTATATACAAACATTAATTTGATTGAACGGCTCGTGCATTATACACAAACATATGATTTTGATCTAACGTCTCATGTGCCTTAAAGTAATAGCTCTTTCCTTAGTAATTTAAAAATGTTAACGATAGTGGGTTTATTCCTAATTGTTTTTAGTAATTAATGTTTTTAATGATAATGGGTTTTGAAAAGCTTTTAAAGTTCAAGAATTATTTTAAACTGACAAATTAGACAGAGATTAAGTCTTTTCATGATTGTTGACAGTTTGACGTAAACATACTAAACATAAACATGGTGTTTGTCATAGTTGTTATACTCAAATAAACACTTAAGTTTTTAAAGTGCGAAATATGTCTATGTGAGCTTTGAAAAATGTTGACTACATTCAGGAAAAGGGTATGGATTGATGGAATTCAACCTTCTTCGAAGTAACTCTGTTTTCAGTGATTTGTTTCCAGATAATGTTACAAAAGAAATGATTGGGGATGCAATAAAACAGTTTGAAGGGAAAATACTGCAGAAACCACCTCCATACTGTGCCCTGAAACTTGACAGAATTAGATTCTCTGACCTGATTGGAAATGGAATTGATGTTTCTCCCGAACCTAGATACGTTCATTGTCACAGCATATCTTGCAGGGAATTTAACCCCCCATACTTCTCTCTTGGTAAGTTGGAAATGCTTTTAAAACCATAGAAACTTTTATTAATATCCGATGTCAGATATGTTTCTCAGTGGCTAATCATCCAATGGTGAAGTTATAACAGAAATGAAATTAAACTATAAGATGGAAAAGTAGTGCACCGTGTCTGCAAGTTGAAGTACTTGTCTGAAAATAAATGGCCAGATGTATCATTACTCTTATGGATAAGAATGTAATAGAATGCTTAACATTTTTTATCTCATAGTTATTTTAGTTGTAAAGCACAAAAGTTAAAAAAGTGTACTTTGACTTAACAGATTGATGAGAGAGAGAGAGAGACGTATCTTTGGTAGGCAACTGTAAGTACAAAAAACCTGGTTACAATCTCAATAAGAAAATATACATTAACATTTTTGTTAAATGAATTTTAATTGAGACTGCCGATGCCTTGACATTTATTTGGCCGTAACAATGACCACGTATTGTACTTTTCCATAGAGTATTTCCAGTAATTTTATGTTTTTTATTTAGTAGGGAACTAGTTTTTGTCACTTTTCTATGTTTGGTTTCTATGTTCATTTTATCACATATCTTAAAGAGAATTTATTTCTTTTCTTTAAGTGGTTGACATAATGTTCACGTATTAACAAGTTTCTAGTAAAAATATATATATACATAAACATTTTACCTTAGATATCCATTGTGGTGGAGGGTTCTACGTCCGGAGTTTGGTTCACGATCTAGGACTTGGTAAGTAAATTATACATGCAGTTAGATTTGTAATATTGTGTATTTTTCAGTTCATTAGGATAATGCAAATATTTTTAAGACGTAGTTAAAGTTATGATTGTTTGTAACAACAAATTTGATGAAATAATATATCATATTTTAATTATGCTAATCATGTTATCATACTATAAAAATAACACAAAGGCTTGGGAACATTTGTAAAATGCCACCCACAAAAAATGATGCAAAGATTGAATAACTTTCTTAATCAAAGTTTTGAAATTTAAAATAATATGACTCAAAGGTTTGAGCACTTTTGTAATCAAAGGTGTCATTGTGCAGGACGTTTGAAAGGTCAGTGAATGCTGTCCGGAACATGCAATTAATATTAACTTCACATCAGAGCAAGCTACCCTTTTAGAGCAAAACGAAAGATCAAACTGTTAAGGAGCATAGCTAGTAAAATTACATTTGACTATGTTCTTAGCTATACAGATTAAAATGCATTGTTTCTTCAATAGAGTACCCTCGCTGTTAACACTAGCTTCATTTTCAGGATAGGCTACTGACAACAGGGTGTTTTAAACACTGTTGTAAGTAACCTATCCTTAAACAAAGCTACTGGGTTAACAATGAGAACTATAAGTCCTATTCAGATAAAGTGTGAGTATAGTGTTTAAAACACCCTGTAATGTGCTCTAACATTCTCTGAATAGGACTTACAATTCTCAATGTGTCTGTGACGAAATTTCATTCTCCTACAGGAAGTAGTCTTTAACATGTAATTTTTAAAGGTGGGTTCTTCTTTATTATTATTATTACCGTAGACATGATTGGGAGGCTGGAAATTTCATCACTACAAAAGGTTTGATAGTGTATTTGAGTTGGAACCTAGTCAAGGTTACTGATGAAGGGTCTGAATACCCAAAACTGATGTAACTCAATGACAGGGGATAGATTTAAGAATTAATTAGACGTGCAGTTTGACTAATTTTTTTGAAAAGCAAATTGGATACCAAGCTCTGCCCTTGGTGATAGTCCAACAGATCTGATGAAAGTCTATAAGTAAAAGTGAACTCTCAGGCCATAATGGGCTTTCTTTTTAAAGCTATTGTAATGCACTTTAAATATCTTAACTTAAAGGTTTTGCAGGAGACTGCATTCCTCTGTCGTTTTTTTTCTCTTTAAAATGCAGAAAACTCGCACAAGTTGGCTAAAAATGAGCAAAATCTCTGCATCACTTATTGTTCAAAGCAGCTCATTTCACAGTAGAGATGTGGTCAAGATTTCTACTGTCTCAATATGGTACATTTAATGCATTACCTTTGATAAAAATCTTGAATTTTGCTTCTATGGAAAACATCTACATCGAGAAGTAAGGAGTGTTCTAAAATACTTTAATTATGAAATACTTCTCCAATTCAGGCTTAATTGCTTTTTTGTAACCCTAGTATAAACCATAAGTTAAATGTTGTGAATCAGAAAAGAGCGGGAAAGTTAAACAGTAGCAATATCTTTATTCTGTACATTGTAGCTGGATATTTTATTACTGTATATTTTGGTAAACAAGCCAAAAATTTAACTTCAGTCTTTAACTTGTAGAATTTTGTTGTGGTGTGAGTTTTCTTCAAACTGGGCTATTTATAATAGCTACTGCAGTAACGATATAAGGGGTTATTCTATGAAATATTTTTATTTTTCAACGTATGGGAAAGTGTAATATGAGTTTGGTTTGATTTTGAACTAATAAATTAACACGCCAAGTTTGATCTGCATCGGTCAACTCGTTTGGGAGGAGATGCATTCACAGACAGATAGAAAGTTTTCCTTGATATTGGATACTCACCACACTGGTATAGTTTAATATGTATAGCACATATGTGAAAAATGCCTGTATCCTGATTTAAATACTGGGTTATCAGAGCTGGATAAACTGAATTTCATATTTTTTTTTGACAAACATCACAGGTTTGATAATGAGGGAACAAAATAGTAACATATAATCCTTATAAGTTGACAAGTATTGATTAAGCTTCCTAGTGGCACAGTTGTATGTCTGCAGTCTTATACCATTAGAAACCAGGTTTCAATACCCATGGTGGGCAGAGTACAGATAGCCCATTGTATAGCTTTGTGCTTAATTACAACCAACCAAACAAACAATCAAGGGGTAGGTGTCTACAGTTTGATCAATTCAATCATACAATGTGATTGGAACACAATACAACAATGTAAGTACAATATCGTGACATAATGTCATCGGATACAACAATTTTTGAGGAAACATTATGCTCCTGAGAAGTAAATGAAGTAAATATGTATACAGCTTTTTATATTATTTAAATTTAAACACGTCAGCCTTTAATAGTCTCATTGAATAATTAATGACGGTTACAGTTAAAGAATAATTGTCGAGAAAAACATTTAAAGAATTGTCAGATAAATCAGTCTTGTACATGTTATAACTTTGTACTGACTCAAATTGCAGTGTGAAGTATAATAATAGATGGTTTGGGACTGTAAAAGTATTTTTTTAAAGTCTGTAATCCGTTTGTGATTAGCCATAAAGATGATGGTTTTGGAACACCAAAATATGAAAAAAGTAAAAGAGGGTTTACATTTTCAGCATCATTTCTTGAAATATTCAAACTGAATTATTTGAAATTGTTTGTTTTTGTATCAGTGTTCATTTTTGTTTAGCATTGGGCAGCTGTGCTCACGTGGCGGAGCTAGAGAGGACACAGCATGGGCCGTTTACAGTGAAAGATGCCCTCCGTCAGTACCAATGGTCGTACACAGAAGTGATGGAAGCTGTGACCAAAGCAAATGAGATGTGTGAAAAATATTTCATTACAACAAAAAATCAGATGACAGATAATGAATCTTGAATGTACTTAGGACTAAAATTTTTTTTTGTTTGGTCATGTATGTGTGAATAAATGTTAATAATAAAATTGTATTAACTTTAATATATAATATCTGTTGCATAGCCAATCTATTCTATAAAACACAAATATTTTGATTCATCTGTATATATACATTTTCTCAAAAAAAAATAAATGTTTGGTAACTGGAGTTGTTTAAACACCAATAGATATTATCGTAAACACCTAAGGGGAATGAGCCCACTCCATTTTTTTTTTCTTTTAGTGTTTAAACATTTACTATTAGAATCTATGTTAGACTGATAAAATGATTGAGTATACCCCACCCACCCCTCAAAAAAGTGAGGCATTCCTGTGTATTATCACATTAGCAAATGGGTTTGATTTGTTGAGTTGACTATATTGTGGAATGAGTTTGGACCATTGTCACATCATTACAATCCATGTTACCACATCCAGTTGCTCAATCTGATTACGTGTATTTTAGCTAAAGTCCTGAATTATAATTCCATTTCAAGAAGCTCTATTACAAGGCTGTCATGTCCAAAGTACACCCCTCCTTCTTGTAGCTTTCTATAATTCATCTAATACACAAGGATGATTGTGTCTCAGTGTTTATTTCAGTTCCACTTATATCTGTAGGTGTTGTGTTCAGCTACTTGACCAGTATGTTGTTATATGGAATAGCATAAAGATCCTTTTTAATTCTCCAGCTGCTTGAGGTACGCATGGCTGAACGGATATGCCATGGAAGCAACTTGTGTGTAAGTGACTTATGTCACTTTTCTAGACTGAGATCCTTCTTGAATATGTTGCATTCTGTTGCTTGGTACATGTGGACAGCTTTCACAACTAACCTTTGTGTAAATGTATTCTCACATGTTACAACAGCTGGGGTATGACTTGTTGAAGGTCTTTTTCTGGATGGTCCTGGGTCACCAACTTGATCCATGTTCCTCACTTTACAATGCCATTAAGTACAAGGAGTATCCCAATCACGAAAATTATAAATCTCAGATCTGAACACATCTTTACTATTTAATAGCCTAAATATTTTCTGTCGGAAAGAGCTAATACATGCCATTCCCCAAATTTACCAGTTTTTGGTGTCATTACACTACTCAGGGGCATTGCTAGCTGCCGAAAAGATTCAGAATTTGGGCCCCAAGAATCAGTTAATGCTCAAAATAACTAAAACATAATTTCAATTTAATATGTTGTAGTTTACGAATTCTAAGAACTTATGAGTGGAAGCAAAGATGAATATGTTGTAATATGTCAACCACACTACATCTGTCATATGTAATGCCGACGAGGCCTTTCTATAGATTCTGGGACTAATAAACGACCGATCTCGAATATATGATAAGCGCCATTTCACCGCGATTTTATATTGACTATGGTTGTCACGTGACTTACTGATTTCAGTATCCAAACCTGCCTTAATTTGACGTACTCAACTCTCTGTATATCATAAACAATGCTGACGACAACAAAAAGATTACATATTAATATTTGGGTGCTCTAATGTTCAATGTTTACGCACTAGTTTTGTATATTTGTGCCAATTTCTCTGTGTGAGTATAAAACCTTCAAACTCGCATGCTGTTATACGATAAAATCATATAATACCCTATAGTAGAGAAAAACCGCGCATGCGCATTATTCACTCGACGACAAACAGTCTGCCTGCGGCAGAGAGCTGCAAAGCTCAGTGATCAAGTCGCTACAATTGCTGTATGGAACAAGAAGTAACAACAAAAGGGGAATGTAAATATACTTTACTAACCATTTTGTACAACAGAATATTAAAAACTTATCAAAGTTTTTAAAAAAGGATTTGACGTTAAGTCGTAGAATAACATTATAAGTTTATTTATCGATAGTATTAAGTACAGTATAGTTTAGTCCTAACTAAACTGAAGTTAAAAAAAAACCATACACAGGTTACAGTGTTACTTTATCTCTTTATCGAACTTAGGCCTA